TAGCCACTTTGGAAATCAGTATGGCGGCTCCTCAAGAAAATGGGAATGAGTCTACCACAAGATCCAGCAATTCCACTCTTAGGCATATACCCAAAAGAAGCACATTCATACAACAAGGACATCTGTTCAACGATGTTCATAGCAGCACTATTTGTAATAGCCAGAAACTGGAAGCAGCCCAGATGCCCCTCAACCAAAGAATGGATAGAGAAAATGTGGTACATTTACACAATGGAGTACCACTCAGCAGGAAAAAATACAATGGAACCTTGAAATTTGCAGGAAAATGCATGGAACTAGAAGAAACCATTCTGAGTGAGGTAACCCAATCACAAAAAGGCAAACATGATATGTACTCACTCATATGTGGATTTTAGACATAGAGTAAAGGATTACCAGCCTACAATCCATACTGCTAGAGAAGCTAGTAAACAAGGAGGACCCTTAGAGAGACATACTTGTTCCCCTGGAGAAGGGGAAAGGGTCAAGATCCCCTGAGCATATTTAGAGCACGGGAAGAGGGGAGAGGGAGCTACGAGAATGAGAAGGGAAGAAGAGGAAGGATGCAGAAGTCATGAGGGAGCAGAAAGGTTGAGTCAGGGGAAGAATAGAAGAAAGGATATATGATAGGGTTTTAGTTGCGGGAGGGAGAAGGGAACTGGGATTGTCATGTAAAACAATCTTGTTTTTAATTCAAATAAAAAATCTGAAAAAAAAACAGACAGAAAATATGAAAACAACTTTTAAAGCTGAAGATCTGAAGTGTGAAAATTTTATTTAGTTTCTAACTTCTGATAATTAGCCTGGCCTCAAACTTACTATCCTCTTGTCTCAGTTTTCTGAGTGCTAGGATTACAGGTGTATGCCACTTAAGCAAGGGTCAACATGTAAAAATTATCTGGTAGTAGAGTTTTAGAAATATGAGAAAGACCTTCTTAACAAAGAGTTGCTTGTACATGCAAAGTACTATTTTTGGGAAGAAAGGAATTGTCTTTCTGACAATGACTGACAATGTCCATGCAGAACCAGATCATGTGGGTGGCTTGTTTTCAAGGAGTGTCATCCTTGTATAGGAGCAAGAGGAAAAATCTATGATTATAACTCCACTGTGGAGCAGCAGAACTTTGCAGTCAAGACGCCTGGTTTAGAATTTCGTTTGCAGAGTAAAAGAATCTCGCAGTGACTTGCAGAGACAAGAGTGAAGTGACTACTTCTCTCTCTTCTATCTCCTCATTCCAGTTGCTATGTGCAGTGAGAGCAAAAAAGGGAAATTTAGATATCATTTTAGCTTACTTAGACTAGTAAAATTAAAGGTTCTGGAGACACAGCTCAGCTTGGTATCTCTTCTAATTTTGTAAGTAGTCTTTTTACCCTGTGAAATTGGCGGGCTGTCACCATTTAAACATAATTATCTTACCACCTCATTCTCTCTAATTCATCAATATGCAAGACACCATTAATAATTATACTCATTGTTCTATAAGGCATAACACTTATGTCATCCTACTAGAATAAATTTGGTCATTCATTGGAGAAGGGTAATTAAGAACAACTAAAAAACATGATTAGTTGATTTTAAAAACATCTACTATCTTGAAGAATGTTCTCCTCTGTTAAGCTAGTATCAGTGCTCAGTTATAAAATTACTAACCTCCTCGAGCAAAGCTATTGGATGGGTTTACATCCAAATGTCCTGGCACTACCTGCTTAAGCACAGTGGACATTCTTGAAGTCCTCCTTTCAGTCCCTAAAGTCAGCCAAAAAAAAAAAAAAAAAAAAAAAAAAAAAAAAAAAAAAAAAAAGAACAAAACCATGGTGTTCAGGTTAACATTACTCAAATGACAAAAAGTTATCTTCATGTGTAGCAAGTCTAATTGCTGCCAAACATTGTATTTTTTAAATCCCCAAAAGCTTTATTAGAGATAACACAGCTATGTTATTATTTCACCAGAGATAACACATATTTGAAAGATTGTAGAGTTAGGTTTGGCAAGTGCAATCAGAGAACCCAATGATAAATGAAGCAAAGCATGCATGGTGTTACTTTGCAAGGAAAGCCACTTTCTGCTTATGTTGAGTAATTCAGATAGCTGATAAAGCCAAAGAGACCAACTTCTCAAGTCACATGCTCCTGTCTAACATATCAGGGTTACCTCTACATGAACCCTTTGGGGTTCCATCACATGATAACTGAAACAGAATATTAGTACAAGTCTTAATGGCTTTATCCAAATCTACAGAAAACAAACTACTACAAAATTTTAAAAGGCTAAAGAAATTTTTGGAATTTCAAATTTATATGATAATTTTTAATCAATATACATTTAATTAATCAGATTTTCAGTTTATACATTTGACTTCATAATAATATGTTAAGGTTTATGTAGAGTAGATTCTGGTACTTTAGGGGTTACTTTATGTTTGATAACTTCTGTTTTATTACTATTTTTAAAAGAAAATAATTGGATCTCTACACATAGTTATTAATTACTAGACATAAACAGTGGTACTTTGACTTCTAAATAAAAGAAGGTAAAGTTATGGCCTTGCAGGGTAAAAATTTTCAGGAGTCATGTTGAAGTAACTAAAAGCATTTATATAAAGAGATTAACTTCAAAAACAGAAACTACCTTTTCAGAGTAGTTGTCAAGAGAATATCATCAGCTCTTACCTGGGGACAGAGCAAGTGCTGGTCTGACAGTCAGGGTATTGTTGCCTCTGAGTTTCTGATGGACAGTAACTGCAGTCAATAAGGCTTGCAAGTACTTTTCTTGTTCTATGCTACTGGAAGATTCTAAAGAGGAGGTAGAAACTATAATACAAAAGAAAAATATATAAAATAAAAGTCTGTTAATAAAATAAGCTTAACTATATTTGCTTATACTTTCTTTATATAACTTCATGCTACCACACCCAAATATAGAAACCAGTTAGATTTAGAGCCTGATCAATTATGTAGCTTGTCTTTTGATGCTGGTTTCAACATATCTACTTCTCAACTGCTCATGATTCTCCCATAAAAGGCCCCACAGGACTCGCCTTCTAAACATAAGTGTATTGATAGAATCAAAATGAAGATCCACAAATAACATCTCCTTGATGGTCTCCTCGCATATTGCCCATGCTACTGTGTGGGTACAGAGAGGATAGAGTGGGTTTCTTTGGCATTCTAGAATAGGCAGAGGTGAGAATGTCTTAACAGGTTTAACAGGTGACATGGGCACTGGGGCTCTGTTCCTGGAAGGGTAGAGGAAGATAGGAGGAATATAGGAGCCACTTAAGTCACATGTCCTGCTCCTATTAAGGGGCAGAAATCAGGCACAAATACAAACAACTATAAAGCAAATAGTTGGCAGCCAGGAATATGGGTCTAGTTTGTGTAAAGCAAAACTGAATCACTGAAATGGGTTCAGGACCTTTATTTATGTATTATTTTTAATTTTTGATAAAGGCTCATGTAGTACAGACTAGCCTCCAAGACATTAAGCTGCTAGGCTGACTTTGAAATACTGCTTCTCCTGCCTCCACCTCTCCCAAATGCTGGGATTACAGGTGGGTACTACATACTTGGCAGGCACAAGCATCTGGAAGAGGTGTCCTAAAAGGACAACAAAACCATACATTTTCTTATACCTTAAACAGAAAATAATTATCATTATTTTTATCTGCTCTAAGACATCATCAAATATAAGGTTCACATGCCATTTTCAGCTATGACACTATTCTTTCTGATCACATCAATTAGAAGGCACATCCCAATTTGAAAAACTTCAAAACAGAATAAGCAAATGAATTTATTCAGAAATATAAAATGCATACTGGAATATAAAAGTAAAATTCCTATCAGACAAATCAGAACTAAGGACTAACTTCCCCATTGTATCTTGCCACTGTTCCAGAACTCACAGGCTGTCTGCAGTTGTATCTGCTTATGCTCTAATATACACACATTGGCTTGGGAGAACTCTCCAAAACAGAAAGTGGTAAAATGAGCTTCCTTTTTTAAAACACTGCTGAAATGCCAAGCCAGGCACAATACAGTACTGTGCATGATGCCCTCAATCAAGCAAATTATGAGGGGGTATACTGGCTAACTTTCAGGAGGGAAGTAGATAAAAACAGAGATCTCAAAAACCACATGGCTTTTCTACCTTCTTGACCAAAGATTTTAGGTTCTAAAGAAGAATGTTATTCTCCAAATCATATCTAATACTGTAGTGGGCCAAAGTTTAACTAGAAACTATGAAAAAAACTCAGCAAACTATAGCTCAAGACATTATTATTCTGGTCATGGTGCTCCCAAATATCCCTGGGACAAGGGACAATATCACTTCCTACTTCACTAGCTTCCTGAAAAATTCTTGGTCTGAGACTAAAGCTGCATTCTGGTTGAGTTTACTGTTACCATTTGTGTATATTCACATGCCACACAGGACAAAATCCCTATTTACCTATGCAGCTGTTAAATTTATCTGGATGCCTTTCAGAAAAAAGAGCAAAGATTGGTACAATCTAGTTTCTAACAATGAGTATTCTGGTCTGCCAGAATGAAAACAGCCTAGAACCAAAGACTATTATCGGTGAAAAACTAAGAAATAAATAAGATGTTAAATTCAACATGGAATCCCACATGCCCACAGCTGTCTTCACTTAAGTCCAACTCTGTATATTCTGTTTTTGGCACAGGGAAAAGGGTGTGGTGAGAGGCATCTGGACCCAGGTTTTACTCCCTTTACCTCTGGGAAGACGCTGTCTCTCCAGTCTCACTGTGGCATTCAGGATGCCCTCAACCTTCAGGGATCCAAGACCCTGCCTCAGTCTCCCAGGGAGCTGAGTCCACAGGCTTAGACACTGTGCCTGGTGGGGGGTTAGGAGTACTCTTCAGTGAGAGCTGTGTTGTACAGAGATGCTTACCGGCTTGAGGGGAGTTCTGTGATTTGAAAAGACCAACAACTCCCTTCCCATGGAATCCCCCAGATCGGAGGAGCAGAGTACCACTTCTTGAGTTCTTCCAACATACGACGGGTAGGCGATTGTGTCGATAGCAGCGGGCTACTCTTAGTAAACTACTGTCTTGTACAGCTTGAGGTATGACTAAAAGGCCAGGGTAGCTTCAGGAATGCAGAGGGGAGAAAGAGAGTGATTGGGAGAAGGGTAAGAAACATTGGAAGCAATATAATATAAAAGTGTAAATAGCATGTCACTATGAGTTTTGAACATGCAGAAACACACTGGTGGAGCTGTATCATAAATATGGAAGTTCATTTAAACTCAATTTTTTTTTTTTGAAACAGGGTCTTATCATATAGCCCTGCTTGGCCTGGAACTTGCTATGTAGACAAGATGGTCTTGAACTCACAGAGATCCATCTGCCTCTGCTTTCCTGAGTACTAGATTAAAGGTCTGTGTTACGAGAAAAAGTCAAACTGTCAACAACTCACAACAATGACAACAGAACTGTAGACTGCCTGAGAAGTGAAAGGGTTAAAAATCAAAATAAAATGATTTTTGGAATGACAACAAAAAGTTCAAAGGTCAGAAAAAGTTGAATTGTTTCATTAACACTACATAATGATGTTTATTTATTTATTTATAGTCAAGGACTTACTATGTAACCCTGGCTAGCCTGGAATTTGATGGAAACTGAGCTGGCTTTAAATTCACAGAGATCCATCTGCCTCTGCCTCCTAAGGGTTGGGATTAAAGAAAGGTGTGTGCCACCAAGTCCGTGTTATGATAAATTTTTTAAATAAAAAAACCTTAAAATTAATTCTCAGAATTTCATACAACATATCTCCATGTTTATGTATTCATTTTTAAAGACTGGGTCTCAAAGTTCAGGATAGGATGCTGGGGAATTGTATGAGTACATAATTTGTAAGTGAAAGAAGACAGCAATGTGTTTTATTTGAATAATCACATTTATGTTAACTCCTTGACACGAATCTAGCAAACTTTTGGTGATTTTTTATTATCATGGTAAAATATGCTTGGCATAAAATTTACCATGTTATTATTCACTTCACAAATACAGCTCTCTGAAGTTAAGTACATTAATAAGGTTGTATATACCTCACCCCCACTCTTCTCTGACATTCCCCCCTATTCTTGTTCATTGCCTTCCCACCAAGTGTCTTCTGCTTTCAGGTCACACACACCCTTCCTAAGAGAAAATGTAGTACTCTGTCTTCCTCTATTGCCTTCTCCTGTCCCCTCCTTACTTCCCTCTTTAAGACTCCTCTCCCTCACTAGTACTTTCACTTTCATGTCATATGTATGTATGTATGTATGTATGTATGTATGTATGTAAAAGTAGATTCTGCATATTAGGGAAAATTTGATATTTGTATTTACAAGTATAGTTTATTTTGCTTAACATGATGCTCACTAGTGCCATCCTCTTTCCTACAAATGATATATTTCATTTTTCAAAGTTGAATAAAATTCCATGGTGTATATCTACCACATTCTCTTTGTTCACCTGCGATGGGCATCTAGGTTGGTTCCATATTTTAGCTATTGTGAACAGTATTGCAATAAACATGGACAAGCAAATGTGTCTGTAGTGGGCTGACTTAGATTCACTCAAGTTTATACCCATCAGTGGTACAGCTAGATCAAATGGAAATTCTATTTAGTATTTTGAGGAACCTCAAATCTGATTTCCACAGTGATCACACCATTTTATATTCTCACCATCAGGATAAAAGGGTTCCCCCTCTAAAGTCCTCACCATCATTTATTGCTACTCATTGTCCTGTTAATATCCATTCTGACAGGGGATGGGAATGGAATATTTTTTTTCTTTTTTCTTTTCTTTTTTTTTTTTT